CAGGGGGCGCAGAACCCCGGGCCGCCCCGCAGAGCCTGGGGTCTGGAGCACGCAGAGGACGCAAAGCGATCGACCCCGGAGAACAGACCCGGTGGGAAGGTGGGCAGCTGGAAGACTCTCCTGCCTCAGCCTCCCAAGTGCTGCGATGACACATGTGTGCCCACATGTCCAGAATACTTGTCTTATTTTATGACTGGCATCTTCCACCTATCATAAAATCTTCGAAAGTCCGTGCCCACCAGCCATGTGTCATGACACACACCTGTTGTCTCAGCACTCAGAAGGCTGAGGCAGGAGGATCACAAGGTCAAGCCCAGCCTGGGCAACTTAGTGATTTAATGAAACCATGTCTCAAAATAAAAAGTAACAAGTGCTCTAGGTTCAATCCCAGTACCAAAAAAAAAAACCAGATAAAAGAAAAAAAAAAAAACTCAAGAAAACAAAAACAAGGAAGTGAAAAAGAAAAAATGTTTCCACACTGGAAATCAAACAAGACACATTAAAACACTTTCTTTAAAGCTAGGCGCAGCTGCAGGCCTGTAGTCTCAGCACTCGGGAGGCTGAGGCAGGAGGGTCACCTTGAGTTCAAGGCCAACACTTGCTACATAGGGAAACCCCTCTCAGAAAACGACAAAGCACAAAACACTTTTTTCAACTCCAGCTCCTATTTCCTGTCTCTGTGGCTCCCTAACCATCACTGTAGCTCCACCCCCTTCCACAAGGGGGTCCAGTGTGCAGCTGGGTGGTGGCTCAGGTGACACTGATAACACACCAGGTGCCTCTGGCCCTGAGGGAAAGTTCACTGGAAAATATGCAATTTGGGCTTCTTTATCTGACCTGGAGTCTTCCTATTTAGCCCAGGCTGGCCTTGAACTCCAGGGATCCTCCTGCCTCGGCCCCGCGACTACTGGGACTGCAGGTGTGCACCACCATTCCTGGCTGAAAATAAGCACTTCAAACTGCGAGGTTTAGTAAGGAAAGTATAAATCTTCCTCAAAGTCATATTCTCTTTTATAGCTAATTAATTTTTCAGCAGTGCCTGGGACTGGAGGAAGCTCATCACAGAACGTGTATCCGGCCTCTTTTTAATTTTTATTCGTATTACATTACTATCACTACTGTTAGTAATTTATGTTTTGCTACACTGGGGTTGGAACCTGTTGCACTGGGCAACATCCCCAACTCTGTTTTTCTTTTAAACTTTGAGACAAGGTCTTCCTAAGTTGCCAAACTGCCCAGGCTGGGCTTGAACTGGAGACCCTCCTGCCTCAGCTTCCTGTGGGCTGGAATCTCCATTGAAGGATGGGGAAAGGACACACTTAACAGCCTCGGCAGCAGGGCTGGGGCGCAGGTGCTGGGTTCAAACTCCAGCTGCTGTGCACAGAAAGGGGGACTGGGAGGAGAGGTCGCACCACTCAACTGACGGCAGGGCCCCAAGATCGGAGAGGACCTGTTGCCAGACCAAAGTCAGGCGGCTTGGTCACCTGTGCCCCACACACTCAGCCGCCCGAAGACACAGACGCTTGCTTTTTTTTGTTGTCATGGTTGAGACAGGGTCTCACTGTGCAGCCCAGGCTGGCCTTGAACTCATGCTGATCCTCCTGCCTCAGCCTCCTGGGTGCTGGGATGACAGGCATGCGCCACCATGCCCGGCCAGATGGCTTCTATCTTAAAAGGAAAACAACAACGTTCTCTCTTTTTTAAACCCCCTTTTCCCTCCCGTCCCCTTCCGGTTCCCGTCTGAGCAGGGTCCAACCGCTGGCACCTGTCCTCCCTGTGCGCCTGGTTCAGACTTTGAGATCCTCTCACGGGAGGACGACGCGCTCTCGAGCCCTGCGCGTCTGATTTACTTCACGTAACATGAAGACTGAAGTGGGGGAGGAGAATGGGAAAAAAGAATTACGCCAAACTATGTACAGGAACAAATCCCCCATGGCGAATGTGATCATTACGTGTGGCAACACATGCGGGACTAATAAAAACACAGATAAATGATTTTTTTTCTTCAAAAAAAAAAAGAAAATGACAAACTGGGTGTGGTGGTGCATGCCTGTGAGGGAGGCATAAGACAAGAGGAGGCTGAGACAGGAGGCTCTCTGTGAGTCCCAGGTCAGCCTGGACTACGTAGCAAGACCCTGTCTCAAAAGAAAAAGAAAGATCTCCACGCACAAATATTAGCCATCTCCCAAATAAGGCTGAAAAGAACATGGGGCCAGAACTTCAAAACAAAACAAAAAATATTTGAGAGACGAGCTATTAACAAATCCAGCCAGTCACGCTTCCTTTGACTTTTCCTTCTTTCTTGTTCTTATTGTTTCTGAGGTCCTGCACGTTAGGCAAGCCCTCTACCTGCAGCCCCGCTTAATAAAATATAAAACAAGTATCTAAAACTTACCAAATTACAGTACAGCCGACTCATAAAAAGACAGTTTAGAAAATAAGAAAGCTATGCCAGGCATGGTAGCACACACACCTGTCATCCCAGCACTTGGGAGGCTGAGGCAGGAGGATTCCTAGAGTTCGAAGCCAGCCTGGGCTACATAGCAAGAGCCTCTCTCCAACCTCCCCCCTCACCAAAACAACAGTAACAAAGGGATCTTACGCAGCTGGCTACACTTCTGGCAAAGGGCAGAGGAGAGGGTGACTCTGACCCGTGTCCCCGCCCGAGGGCACCTACTTCTCGTAGAGCCGCTGTCCCCGCAGGAAGGCCTTGACCTCGTCGTCCAGCGGGAAGGTGCCGTCGTCCTTCCGGAAGCGGTAGAACAGCTTCACGTCCTTGAACTCCTTGTGCTCGTCACACACTGAGACACGGGCAGGGGGCGCGTCAGGGCCGTGCGACCCGGCTCTGGGCCCTAGACCTGGGAACCCTCGGGAGGTGCTTAGCACAGCACCCTGACCCAGCGGCCCAGCACCACCTATAAGCAAGTCCCCAAATACGGCCCCAGCCCTTCCTGTCACCCAGGCCCCAGGAGGCTGAGGCAGGAGGATCGCCATGAGTTTGAGGCCGGCCTGGGCTACAGAGCGAGACCCTGTCTCGCAAACCAGCATCTGTGCGGAAACCCCAAACGCCCCACGGGGCGACGGCAGTGTCATGGGAATAGGCAGCAGGAAGGATTCACAGACTTTTGCCCTTAAGTGGGCGGGGCCGCGGTCTCCCCTGGTCCTGGCCCCAGGCCCCGCCCCCAGCCCCCGGCCCGCGGCGCCCTAACCGTGGTGCACGATGCCCCGGTCCGCCAGCTTCTGCATGAGCTTCACCGCCGTCTCCCGGTCGGAAGCCTCCTTGTGCTCGATCAGCCAGTCGATGAGCTCCTTGGCCACGAAGCAGTTGGGGTAGGTCTTGAGGTGGTGTCGCCGGTCCTTGATGACCTTCTCCTCGTGCAGCCGGAGCCTGGACGGAGAGACGCACGACTCAGCGCGCTGGGTGAGGGCGCAAGCCACTAACCTGCCCCAGAGACGGCCAGAGCAGGAGCCAAAAGCTGAAGAGATCTTCGTGTCCCGGGGTCCCCACTCCAGGAAGAGTCCAGCTCAGGTCTGGAGGTGACACAGGTGGGTGGTGACATACGGTCTCACTGTGGAGCCCTTGGACGTACAGTGATCCTCCTGCCTCAGCCTCCCAAGTGCCGGGATGCAAGGCACGCAGTGCACCACTACGCCTGGCAGAGAAACAACTTTAAGAGAGCCGGGCACGGTGGGTAGCCTGTAGCCGTGGAGCTGTAATCCCAGCAAATGGGGAGGCTGAGGCAGGAGGATCAGAAATCTGAGCTCAGCCTGGGCAATTTGGTGGGATCCTCTCTCCATGTTAAATAAAGGGAAGGGGCTGGAGGTGGTTCTGGACAAAGCCCTGGGCTCCACCCTGCAGCCCAGGAAGCGGTGCTGGGCAGGGTCAGCAGCCCTGATCCCGGCGGTGGGGGCGAGGCTGAGGCTGAGGCAGGAGAGTGGCGAGTTCGAGGCCTCAAAACAGAACGTCCCAAGAGCAAGGCAGACACATCAGGAGCCGGAAAACTGAGGAGCAGCAGAGACAGGACCTGAGACCCGGGGAAGCCAGCGCCATCATGAAGCAGGCGATGAGCGGAAGACGAGTTACACAGCAGAAGCAGCTGATTGTAAGAGGGCGGTGAAGGAGAGGAGCAAAGAAGCGGACCCCGACAGAGCACAGCTAACAGACGGGGGTGGACTTTAAACGCTTAGTGTTTGCTGACTGCCCCACACAACCAACTGGAAAGCTCTCAACCCGAACACCCAAGGCAGCCCGGGGCAATTTTCAGGAAAGAAAGAGGTCTAGGAGCCGGGCGTGGTGGTCTACACCTGCCAGGCCAGCACTCCCGGGAGGCTGAGGCAGGAGAATCGCCATGAGTTCCAGGCCAGCCTGGGCTACATAGTGAGACCCTGTCTCAAAAAATAAAAGAAACATGAAAGAAACCCCCACCAAAATAAACCGGGAGGTCTCGTGATTTAGAAGGAAAGAGGGAGACCTGGTCCACTGGAGGAGGCAGACGCTGCTGTGGTGGAAACCGGGGGCAGAAGCCCCCACACTGGTCCTAGCAGCAGTAACCCCGGAAACCAAGGAGCTGCATGGCTGGAAGGCCTCGGCCCACTCTGCACTGCAGGGCTCCCTGCTCCTCACCTGGGCCAGCCTCCATCCTCCCCCACCTTGCACCGTGACCTTGTTATTGACCTCAAGCCCTTAGCAATCTTCCTGCCTCAGCCTCCTGAGAGCCAGGGTTACAAGTGTGTGCCACCGCAGCCGGCTCTTTTAGGGCCCCAAACCCTTCCCTCCAGTCACCATCTCCAGACCAAGAGTTTGAGGCCAGCCTGGGCTACATAGCTAGACCCTGTCTCAAAACAAACAAGAGAACTCCCGAAAATCAAACTAGTGATGAATATCATCGCATTCTTCGGCCAACGAAAAAGAAAGCAATTAAGAATTTTTAACATTTTTCCAGTCAGGTGTGATGACGCAAGCCTGTCATCCGAAGCACTGAGGAGGCTGAGGCAAGAGGATCACCGTGAGTTCGAGGCCAGTCTGTGCTACATAGTGAGACCCTGTCTCAAAAAGCCAAAAAATGGCGGCAGTCAACAGTAAGAGGGCAGCTGGGGACAGAAGGACACACAGCCACGCTAACCAGGGTGGCCCAGCTCCCAGCCCGCCAGGGCCAGCACCAGCACCAGTGCCAAGTCACACAAAGCACTCGTTCGGGTGCTCACTGAGCAACTACTACGGCCAGCCCAGTGCTGGGATGGGCGGGAGGGCAGGTTCATCTGCTGGGGAGCAAACTCCCGATGCTCCTGCCTCAGCCTCCCCAGGGCTGGGATTCCAGGTGTGGTCACCTGCTTCCTCTTTTTTAATTTAAAAGATTGTGCAAGCTGCCCTGCCCCCCAAGTCCCCGAGCAACGTAAGCCATGCTGGGCTGCAGAGTGGCTGCACCAGAAATTCACAACTGTGCCCCATCTAAGTCCTGCATCACCTGCGTGCCCAGGATGGGTCGGGAGCCTGGCACAGGCCCGAGGGACATTCAGATCAGGCGTGGCGGCGCACGCCTCTCATTCCAGCACTCGGGAAGCTGAGGCAGGAGGACTGCTCTCAGTGCAAGGGCAGCCTGGGCAAATAGTCAAAAAAAAAAAAAGTTTTTTAAAATGAAAAAGCAACTAACTTTATCCACCAGAGGACTTTAAATCAGAAAAGCTATGCAGCACTTGTGTTTCTTAGTTAGAAGCCTCTATAGGCAACCAAGTTTTCATCCCTTTTAACCTGGACCACACACTTTATTTTTCATTTATTTATTGATTCTCTTGGTTTTCTGAGACAGGATCTCGACAGCAGATTATGTAGTTCAGGCTGGCCTGGAACTTGTGGTGGCCCTTCTGCCTCAGGCTTCCAAGTGCGGGGATGACCAGCTTGCACACCACACACTTTATGACTGCACCAGGCCAGGCACGGGAGTCGCCTCTGCACATTCAGCTCAGGGAGCTGGGACTCGGTTTCCGGCCTCCGAACCCACTGCAGCCGGGCGCCAGCTCCCCAGCGAGGACCCTGCTCCTGCTGAGTGGAGGCCGGGGCGCCCCGCCAGGAGCCCGGAGCCGGCACAGCTGCGGCCGGAGCGCTGCGGGCCTGGCTTCTCCCCCCGCCACACTGATTTATGACCACGCGGAGGGCAGCTGCAGAACTAGCCAGGCCAGACGCACGCACATTTTTTCTGTGTCTCTCTTTTGGTTCTGAGACAGGGCCTCCCTGTATAGCTGGCCTTGAAGTCACTGTGAAGCCCAAGCTGGCCTCCCACTCTGAACTCGCTGTGACCCTCCTGCCTCAGCCTCCCAAGTGCTGGAGTGACAGGTGTGCAGTTGTAAAGGAAAGGTTAGGGAGGAGTTGGCGGGGAAGACGGAGGCCCTGGGGCCCTGGCTTGTCCCGGGGTCACGACACCCACCAAGGCCTATTCTCCAGCAGCCAGCGCCCAAGCTGCGTGGGGAAGTTGGCCGCAGCCTGGGACGTGGCACCGCCATTGCCTCCTGGCGGACCCAAAAGAAGGCTGAAGGTGTGCCCGCCGGGCACAGGGCGTCGGAGGGTGCTGCGCGTTTAGCCCGCACCGCCGTCCTGTAGAGGGGGCTCCCTGTGGTCCCCGCCGCGTTTTCCGCTCTGTTTTTTTGAGACAGAGTCTCCTGGGCAGCGCAGGCTGGCCGCGAACTCGCGGAGATCCTCCTGCCTCAGCCTCCCAGCGCGGGATGACAGCGCGCGCTGCGCTCCCGCGGCCCCGACCGCGCCGAGCCCGGCGCCTGGGGCTGTCACCCAGATCGGGTCGCGGTCGCCCAGGCCGGGTCGCGGGCGCCGGACAGGGACAGCACACAGCGCCGCGCGGCAGTGACACCCACGCCCGCCGTCTCCTACCGCAGCTGCTCCCCGGTGACCAGGACCTCGGCCGTGCGTTCCAGCTCCCGCTCCCGCTGCCGCGCGCCCCCGCCGGGGTGGCCGTCGCCGCCGCCGCCCTGCTCCATGGTCGCCTCGCTCGGGTCCCCTGCCCGAGCCTGGCGCCCCGATCAGCCTGCCCGCACCGAGGCCGCGCCCGCCATCTTTGTTCCGGGCAGGCCCGGGGCTCGCACGCGATTGGCTGGGGAAGGAATCCCTGCCCTAGCAACCCCGCCTTGAGGGCGGAGCCGGGGCACTCGCATGTTCGGGGGCGGGGCCTGGGGAGGAAAATATAAACATGTGGGCGGGGCTCTGAGCTGCTAGGTGCCCCCTCTTACCATTTTTCATCATACTTTTTTGTTGCTTTTTATTTTTCTCGGGTTTTCAGTTTGGAGACAGAATCTCCCTATGTAGCCCAGTCTGGCCTCCGACTCGAGGCGGTCCTCCTGCCTCAGCCTCCCGAGTGCTAGGTTTACAGGCGTGCGTCACTAAGCCCAGTGTAAAAGTTAATCTTGAAAGATTAATTTCTTTAAAATACTGTCGTCTGTAGGAGCTCACGGAGTAAAAATGCCAATGTCAGGAAGGTTGAAACCCAACTTTTGTGTACACTTAGCTCAAGCCCGCTGCTTGAGAATTTTCCAGGCTACTGCGTGTTCTTCCCCCTCTGCTCTGCGCCTCCCCAGCCCCTGCACGACTAGCCCATTAACGGAGTGGTGCAGACGTTGGCCGAGCACCTCCTTTGGCTTGCAGCGTGGAGACGCCCCCTTTCCTGTCCGTCACTCCTCAGAACCAGAAGCCCTTGAGCGTTAGGGCCGGGGTTCGACTCACAGAGAAAAAGCAAGAGCAGGGCAAAGTGAATTTGCCTACACTGACCCCCCAGGAAGTCCCGCAGCCCTTGGGTTCAGCTACAGCCAGAAAGAGAATAACTGGCTTGTGTGTCTGCCGCTAGATCTGAGGCAACTCCTTGAGCGCGTGTGTACCTGTGCGGTACTGGGGATCGAACCTTAGACCTCTGCACTGAGCTACATCCCCGCCCTCTTTTTGTTTTGAGGTAGGGTCTTGCCTCAGGTTGCTAAATTGCCAAGGCTGGGCTTTCATTTGTGATCCTCCTGCCTCAGCCTTCCAGATTGCTGAGATCACAGGCCTGCGCCACCATGTCCAGATGCCAACTCTTTCGCCCAAAGAATTCACCTAGGCTTCTTAACGTTCTAAGTAGACCATGGCAGAAATACACATCAAGACAGACATAATTCAGGCAACTGTGATTCTAAAAGCTTCCCCGTTCTGCATAAGCTATAAAAATCTTTTTTAACAAGCCAGGTGTGCTGGTGCAGGGCTGCAATCCCAGCACTCGGGAGGCTGAGGCTGGAGGGTCACAGACAAGTTTCCCTCCATCTCTTTCAGATCCATTCCAGCAACAGAACTTTTTAAATTCATGAACATAAGGGAAAAATTCAAGTCAGGGAAATCCCTGCCTGTCCTGCTGCCTCAGCCTCCTGCATGCCGGACCGAGGCCATGCCACGCAGTCCAGTGTCCGTGTGCCCAGCCTGCAGGGACAGCCTGGCGCTCCTCTTGGTCTTTGGTCCCAGGTCTCCTCATCTTTTGTGAGTCAGC